CAGGAGGTAATCATCCTAGCCACCCGGGTGCTCCTACCCTACCCTAGGCTTATTTAGTAAACTAAATTTCCTTGGCGGAAACGGCATAAAAGAGCTAAGCTAGTCGATTCCCATCATCCTCAACGCATCCGATACAGTGCTGATATAACAAAGGCTAACACGTTAGACTGAGTTCATTTCTTGATATACTGACCTTCGGATGGGTGCCTATTTTCACCGATTTCACCATTTTCAGCCCCCTGCCTTTTGTTGCCGTAATTCCCTATTGAGCAGGGCAAGTTCTGCATTTGTTGGCACCTGCGTTCACACATGGGTTGCTCCCAGTGAAGTATTTGGAATTCGCGGAATTAAAAGCTGAAATTCGAAAAAAAAGGAATCCTGAATTATTGGTTTTTTCATCAGTCTGTGTGAGCATTTTCCACTGAGCGCTTTTTCATTCACCAAGTGCACAAAGTGTTTTTACTCCGACAGAGTACTTTTTACACACGTTTGCCCTATGCTGTCGTCTCCCTCACCACCCGCCACTCCGGCAATACGCCCCTCATCACCCGTGAAAAACTATGCCTCTATTGAAGCCTTGTTGAAGTGGTCTGGATACCTTCTTCCAATCTCTTGTCATCCTTTTTCTCCTCTCTTTCAAAGATTTAAGTATATACTCATTAATACGTTCATTTTTGCCATCTGGCTTCAGTTAACTGGGGAGTGGTGCAGTAGGAACGAAATTGTCGCGTGGCGGCGAGAGAGACGCCGTGCGCGAAGAAATGTAACAGTATGCCGCCGCAAGTAAGAAATTCAAGAACAAAAGAACTAACAGTAGAATCATGCCATAAGTAATAATCGCATAGCGATTAAGCTCTATGAATCCGCTAGAATTGTTATGGAGAGGCAAATGGTCCGCGGTAGCCGCTTGCGGCGGATCGATTATAGGAAACCGTTCCTACTGCCCGCCTCCCCATATCCAACTGGCTGTATCGTTATCTTCCTTAGTTCACATATTTGCCTCCTTCAACGAACCCAGCACTGACCATTGCATGAGCTCTGTACACATTCAAACTTCCTAGATATTCTGAAAGAATGGCTTATGCATGGCCTATAAGGGAAAGTCCAGGTAGTAGTCAGTGTCATGTGATTTGCTTTATGTACTTCGCCTCCGCGTTCAAACTTCTTTCACACCAAGACGTATTTACTCAAAGTTCTCTTCTTATCGATAGATTTCAGTTCATTGATTATTTTCTATACTACAATCTTATGCTTTTTTTATTTTGGATATTTTATTCCAAAACTATATATTTACTATTTTTCGACGGCGGTATACCTAAACCCTGAAAGCTCGGATAATTATCGGCTTAAAAGCGATCAATTGGTGGAGCGTTGGAGGTGGGTGTGTCTCCATCGAGGGCATCTTTTTACCTGATTATGCCACCGCGAATCCGTAATTGCGTACTCATTGCCTTCCCTTCATCCCTTCGGCTCTTCCTATTCTACCCACTGAGTTCGAGCAATACTCGCCTAGGGCTCAGAACGGCTGCTGATGTCTGATAGAATTAGCCCAAGTTATTTAAATGGAAATTTGATTACTAGTTGTCCAGAGGATTCCATTTCAATGAGTTTTTTTCCAAAGTGTTTTAAAATTCGAAACTCGAAACCCTGAAGAGCTCCGGGACACTCCTTGGGGAGGAAGAAAATCCCCCGTGTAGGAATCGAGACAAAATTCACGTCCTGTCGCCCATGTTGTGTCGTTCTACAGGTTCTTCCGGTCTTTCCCGAATCTCCTCCCTCAAGGTGGCTTGCCTTTCCCAATTCCGGACCAATTGTCAGTCCAGATTTTAAACTGCTCTAATTCAACGTATCAATTCCTTTCTTTGTTGTGTAGCTCGGCTAAAAAACAGCTACTGTTTGTTTAGTGGGTTGTTTACTTGTTTAGGAACTATACAAAATGTGACAAGACGTCAATGGTAGACTTCTTTCGCATCCACTTCTAATCGTTGAAAAGAGGGATGTGACTCAATCAGTCGAGCACTTTCCTTTCGTCATTCTGCCTTTGTCGGCGGCTGTCGCTGTGACTGCCGCCCCGTTAAAAGGTTGCTAGTTCTTTTTCGTTATTGAATGTGCGGTTTACTGAAGGACACCCATCGTTGATGGTGAGCGTGTTCGATGTGGGAGGAACCCGTCTCGAGCAGCCAGTCACCTCAGCGTGGGGCATTCATCGCGATAATTGAGAAGTGGACTAGTCGTCGTCGTTTCATTGCACTTTTTCGACACGGCAACATTGACATGTAATCAATTGGTGGTGGTAGTCCCCCATTCCCATGTGGGGCAACCAAATCTGCCCTCCCTATTCTGCTCCATCAGTCATTAGTGTTCCAAAACGGTTACATGGACTTCCTGGGAATTCCTTCTTTTCAAATCTGAGTGAACTCGTCCATTCTAATTTCTATTTTCTTCATGATTCTTCATTTTCGATGTTTTTCATCTTTGTTTTTTTTATTTTTGTGAATTTCAAGATAAGTACACTCCCCTGTCTTCTTTTTTTCTTCGTATGGTTTCACTTTTTTCTTCTTCTTTCATTTTTCTCAATTTCCGAATTACAGCTTGATTTTCTCCCAGCAGCCTAGGCTTGTGAGCGCTGAATAATGATTATTTATAAAATATATTTCCAAAATTAGCTGGAAACCAGTTTTTCTTTCCATCATGCTCCCAAGTCCTTGGTTTTGATGTCTGTCTACCTCTCCATGAATTTTTCATATTTGTATTTTCCGTTTTTTTGTTTTTGAGCAGCTGAAATACGAGTGATGGGAAGTTTTTTTGACTTTTGCACTTGTCGAAATGGGCCATTGAATGGGCCATTTCCCATTTGTTTAATGGGGGAATGGAGGCATGAGACACAACTTCCACTTAAACGGTCAGTGGCCTCCTCTCAGAACACATTCGGACTCCTTTACTAATTTCCATGAATCCGAATGCACGGCTTATTCCAGAAGGACAGATTAATTTTTACTATTCTATCTAGTCTCTGTCTTTCATTTCTTCTCATCCTTTTCTTTTTATCTGGTCTTATCCGACTCAGTTCAATTATTTTCTTTCTTACTTTATTATTTCACCTTATTCCCCGGGGACCAGCCGGGGACCGTCTGGGGACCGTTGCTGTTTTGGCTTTCGAACCTTCTCCGAACTGATTTCTGTTTGAATTTGACAATCCTGCAAGGAAAATGCCACGCCCTCAACGATTTTCTTCATCAGACCCTGATCGTCATCAAGACATTCCCCTATTTATTCTTGCTGACATTTCCCAACAGGACCAGTTTTTGGCTTGAATTCTTAAGGTGTTCAGAAAAGTCGATGAAGAGGCAATTGTCGACGAGACAATTATGCTGTACTTCGCCTTCGCTTTCCGTAGAATTGGCTTGAGTGTCGCCTCATGAGATCGATCGTATATGGGGGCCTTTCATGAGACTTTCCCGTGGCTCTTTCAAGCCCGATTCATACGCGACTGGTTTCTTCGAAAGCAGTCCCCCTCGCCCCTTCCGTTATACTCACCGATCCGCTTCTTCATAGCAATCTAGTAATCACGTACGCCTGTACACGTTGTTAGTTCCCCCTATCCAATGAGAAATCATTGTCGTCCCGTGGCTATTGATTTGCTGAGTGAAGGTCATTCTCTGTGGGTAACCATC